CATTTAATGCGACTTTCTTTTAACACTCCTATAAAAATAAATAAAGATATTTCTAAAAATAACAAGTGACTCCAATTATATCGATATTAAGGTTGCTTTCAGAAAAGTATATCCGTGTCCACAACCGGTTTCAAATATTAATACCTTCATTTAAGTTGTCCATAGCATCGCCAACATCAAAACTCAAAACGAGAATTAAAGCAAAAATTGACAATAATTTTGCTTTGTCTCTCATTTTTTTGTTAAAAAACAAATTTCCTTCAATAGAAGGGTTTTATGTTTAATTTAAATAAAGATATTTTGAATTTGAAAAATTTTTTTGAATAAACTGATTATGCTAGGGGGTAAATAATTGTTTATATATGGACAAAATCGTCGGGTATACATGATTGATTGAATGCCAATAATTTTTTTAAAATTTATAAAAATTAGAGAAAATGAAATTAAAATAGCATTAAAAGGCACAAAAATGCACAAACATTAAATTGAAAATATTAATTTTATGTCGTAAAATGCATTTAGAAAAATCAAGGGAGTGCGCGTACACAAAAAGCATAAACATTAAATTGATTTTTAAAAATTCATATGATTAAATTTACGTAATTTTACCTAAAAAAATTTTTTTTTAATTATGTATAAAGCGGAAAAGAAGAGTCCGAATCCTCAATTTCCCGTTAATCTTGTTTGTTATTTGTTTTGTTTAGATTTAAAACTAGGGTAAAGCGGCGGGGCTATAGATCTATTTATTTCCTTCAGCTAGTGCAAAAGGTTAATCGTGGCTGGGAGCGAACCAGCATCTTTTCAGTATACCGAAATGATGTGTTATCCATTACATGTCGCTTACTGCACAGCCTTAGAAATTAAATAGCTACCGTATTTTGTGGATTAATTCCCCTCTCTCGATTAATCCCCCATGCTAGGTAAGGATTGAATAAAAAGTCCCCAGGGGATTTAATCGGAAAAATAGCTATATGCTTTACACCTCCATCCCCAGGAAAAATTGAATTTTTACTTATGGATGGAATTTAAACTTTTAATAAAACCAATGAGTAGCTCCCAGCCACTGATAAACCTTTTGCACTAGCTGAAGGAGAGAAGTAGCTATGTATAGCCCAGCTGCTTTACTCTAGTTTTAAATCTAAACAAAACAAATAACAAACAAGATTAACGGGAAATTGAGGTTCAGACTCTTCTTTACCGCTTTATACATAATAAAAAAATTCTTTTTAAATAAAATTACGTAAATTTAATCATATGAATTTTTTAAATCAATTTAATGTATTTAATGTTTGTAATTTTTTGTGTACGCGCACTCCCTTGATTTTTCTTAATAGATTTTAACACGTAAAATTAATATATTTAATGCTATTTTAATTTCTTTTTTTCTCTAATTGTTATAAAATTTTGAAATAAAAACAAAGAAAATACAAATAAAAACACGTTTAACACTAAACACGTCTGTTAGAAATCTTTTTTGGATAAGATTTAACTTTTGGTGAATTGTGCCTATATTGTGAACTGTTGTTTTTGTGTCTAGTGCCAAATTTAATAAATATAAAATTAACTCTTATAAAACTAAAAACATTGCCAATGAATTAAACAAATTTTGGGTTGCCTCGCATGCTTCTGGTAAACGAATTGTTTAAAAAGTAAAAGGAGTCTTTTCCGGAACGTCTCGGTTAGTCCTGGCGGCTGAGTCCCGCTGTCATATTTTGGGCCATAACTTTTTTAATTCCTAAAAAATATGATAATTAATAACTATCTCATCGAAAGCTATTGATATAAGGATTGATTTGGATTGAATGATCTGATTGATTGATAGAATCAGGTCAACATATAATGAGACTTTTGAAGTCAGATAATTTTTTTGTTCTTGGTACCATTGGAACTATCTAACAACAACAAAGATTTTTAAATTTAAAACTAAAATTTTATACAAATCTAAAAATATGAATTTTAAAAAATGTTGAATAAAATGAAAAATTGTTCTTGAATAGGGTTGTTGGTAGGGTAGCCTCAAAGCTCACAAAAATACAAAGGTTTGACCATTTCGAAGAGCTCTATCAATAATACTTTGAAAGTCGCCCCTTTTTTCCTTTCTATTCCATATATGTAATTTTTCCATATAATAAATTACCGTGTGGATTCTCTAATAGAATGTCCTTTTTTAGCGAAAAAATAGAATGGCTACTTCTATTTGAATTGTAAAAAGATGGCCGACTTCTAAAGTATTACCCTGATATCTTCAAGGCTATTTGGATTGATATTTACAGGGGGCATTAGAAGGTCAAGTTTTTAAATCAATAATGCTGGTGGAATGAATGGGGGGATGTTTTAGTTCGTTAAAAAATTGGATAAAATAAAGCATCTAGGCTATAGCTATTCCTCTTCTTCAGCTAGTGAAAAAGGTTAATCGGCGTCTGGGAACGAACCAACGCCTTCATTAGACCGGACTGATATGTTATCCATTACACCACTCCGCTTACTGCACAGCCTTTGGAATTAAATAGCTATATGTTTTACAATAAAAAATAATTGTTTAGTTTGGATAAATATACAATGGGATTTACTTTTCTTTTTTCTTTTTTTCATTTTTTACATTCCTTTCCTTTTTACACTTTCCTTTTTGCATTCTTCGAATCAGTTTTTAATCTGTCTTTTTCAACTCGTCCATTAACATTTTTGTCAGATCACTTTCTACTTTGCTTTTGTTGTATTTTTTGATAACAGAAACTGCTTTGTCAACATCGTCCAAGCCTTTAAAATATTTAAACAAAATATTAACATAAATTATCTCCATTTATCAAACAATATTTATTAAGTTCAGAAAATAGTATCGAACAGGGCTTCAAAGATAGTACCACTTAATGTAAAAAATGTGTAGTAGAATACAAAATAAGGCCAATTAAGGCTATTAATATTGAGTAGAAAGGAACAAAGAACGAAGTCTGAAACTTCTTTCCTTATCGAGATCTCAAATATCAAAAAATCAACAGGAAATTGGGTTACAGTACTTCAAAAAATATTTTAGCTCCCCAGAGCTTATATAGAATTTTTCTTTTAAGCTATTTTGAAACCTTTTGAAATTTGCTACAAAATACCTCTTGGCCTCATAGGTGTAAAAAATTCTGTTTATGAGATAATATATAACGTGCCTTTTTAGCTGGTACGGAATCATACCTCACTCATAACTTGGGATAACTTTATAAAACCAGAATAAGAATTATTTCAATTCTAAAGTCATTAATTCTACAATAAACTTGCCTTCATGGATTTCAATAGTCTCTTCATCGTTTAAGTTCACAAAAATTGCAGAATCTTTTTTTCCTTTAAACAATTTTACAGTTTGCGTTTTTTTAGATTGTCTCTTGCGCTCACCCCTGGTCCCGAACCCTATAAATTCTGAAATGTGGGATATTTACTTTCGTTCTTAGTACCATTGGAACTATCCAACAACAACAAAGATTTTAAATTTAAAACTAAAATTTTATACAAATCTAAGAATATGAATTTTAAAAAATGTTGAATAAAAAAATTGTTTTTGAATAGGGTTGTTGGTAGGGTAGCCTCAAGTCTCACAAAAATACAAAGGCTTTATCAGTTCGAAGAGCTCTATCAGTAATACTATGGAAGTCGCCCCCTTTTTTCTTTCTATTGTTTTCCCAGTTTTTCTCATTTTATGGCAAATTATTCGAGCTGAGCCGAATTATTCGAGCTGAATCGAATGATACTAAAATAAACAAAGCTCAAAATGGTCAGTGGAACGCGGAAAAAAGTGAACCGACTTCAAAAGTGTTAACCTGATATGTATCTTAATGAACATATGGTATAATATTTACAGGGGGCATTAAAAGGTCAAATGGTTATGTTTTAGAATGGTTGTTTAAAAAATGAATAAAGTAAAGCAGCTGGGCTATAGCTATTTTTCTATTTCAGCTAGTGCAGAAGGTTGATCGTGGCTGGGAGCGAACCAACATCTTCAGTAGACCGGACTGATGTGTTATCCATTACACGTTGCCTACTGCACAGCCTTAGGAATTAAATAGCTATATGCTTTACAATGAAAAATAATCGTTTAGTTTTGGGTAAATACAATGGGATTTTCCTTCCGTTTTTCCTTTTTCTTTACTTTTTACACTTTTCTTTGCTTTTTGCATTCTTCCAATCAGTTTTTAATCTGTCTTTTTCAACTCTTCCATTAACATTTTTGTTAAATCATTTTGTTCGTTGCTTTTGTTGAATTTTTTGATAACAGAGACTGCTTTCTCAACATCATTCAAGCCTTTAAATTTTTTAAATAAAAATATTAACATAACTCATCTCAAGTTATCAACCAAGAATATTTATTAAGTTCAGAAAATAGTTACGGACAGGACTTCAAGGATAGTACTCATTTAATGTACAAAATTTGAGTATAAGGCCGAATAAGGCCAATTAAGGCCATTAATATTGAGTAAAAAGGAACAAAGAACGAAGTCTGAAACTTCTTTCATCCTCGAAATCTAAAATCTCACAAATCAACAGGAAATGGGGCTACAGTACTTCAAAAAATGTTTTAGCTTCCCAGACTTATATAGAATTTATCTTTTAAGCTTATTTGAAAGCCCTTGAAATTTGCTACAAAATGCCTCTTGGCATCATAGTTGTAAAAATTTTGTTTAGGAGTCATTAATTCTAAAGTCATTAGTTCTACAAACTTGCCTTCATGTAATACAGGAGTATCGTTTACATTCACAAAAATTGCCGAATCTTTTTTCTCTTCAAACAATTTTACTGCATTTTCTTTTCCATAAATCTTAAACAAAAATGTTTTCCCAATTAAACTGTTTTTGTCAAAATAAATAATGTGTTCGTCTTTATCATGAATTGTCTCAACTTTATTGCTAGTACTTGCTTCTCCTTTTTCTTCTTTCTCTTCCTTTTCTTTTTCCTTTTCCTTACTTAATTTAATTATCACTTTCTTTTCTTCATTTTTGTATATAATGCGCTTATCAAGCAAATGATAAAAAAGTGCTTTAAACCATTCTTCTTTCAATTCAACAATAAAATCATCATATTTTTCCAACATCTTTTTATGTTCATCTTTCATGTTTAAAAGCCCTTCCTCAACCATTTTACTATGTTCAATTTTTATCTTTCCCTTCTTTTCTTCCCAGATTTTATTTTGTTCATTTCTCATCTCTTCTAATTTTTCTTTCAATTCTTTTTCGTTTTCTCTTTCAATTTTATTTATTTTTTCCTTTATTTCATCTCTTTTTACTTTTTCCTGTAACACCTCCAAACTTTTAATTTTGTTTTCCAAATCTTCCAATTCTTTTATTTCTTTCTCTATTTTCTCAATTTTCTCTATTTTCTTATGTTTCTTAGATAATTTAAAAATTTCTTTTATTAGATTCACATAATGTTGTATTATATTTTTTATTTTTGAATTCCCGTTTTTGTAGTTTAACTTTTGTAATTCTATCAATTTTTTACCCATTTCATCTTGTAATTTTTTCAATTTAGCTTTAATGTCAGATTTATCATTAAGGTTTTGGAATATTTTCATATGGAGTATTTTTCCAAGTTCTTCATTGTTTCTATAGCTTTGTATTTCTTTCTCAATTTTCTCATATTTCTCATTTATTTCTTTTAATTTTCCCTCCAAAATTTTCTTTTGTTCATTTTTTATCTCTTCCAATTTTTTATCCAATTTTTTATCATTTTTGTGATTTTCTTCATCGATAATATATAACTCTTCCCTTTCATTTTTAACTTCTTCAATTAATTCAACAATTGCCACAGGTGTATCTAATTCAATTTTTATTGTTGTCTTTGTCTCAAATATTTTGACAGAAATATTTTCAACCGTTCCAGTATTATAACTAATATTTCCTCGCGGAGATATTTTATAAACTTTCCCTATTCTAGTTTTTGAACTTTCTAAATTATTTTTTTCCTCTGTCATAACAAAACGAATCAAACGACTTATAAGATAATAACGATTTCTAATTTTTTCCGAAAGGAAAGATGATTTTCTAATCAATTGTTCTAAGTCATTTAAATTCAGTAGACTTTCCGGATTCAGTTCTACGGATTTTAGACTTTCTTCTAGACTTTCCTTTAATATATTTTTGTCATTTTTCTTATTGAGGATAACAGCACCATATTTAATTTTTTTAATAAAATCACTAAAAAATAAATCAAAGGGAATTTCAACATTCTTCTCTTTATCAACTTTATCTAAAACAGCCGTTGGCTTTTCATTAGCAGTTTTAATGTCCAAAATTTTTGCGTCACATATCAAAAACGATTTTTCATTTTCTTTCTCTTCTTCCTGTACATATTCTGACAAAACGATTAAACGCTCATTTAACGAATTTTTCAAATTTTTGATGTGTAAAATTTTGCCTAGATTAGTCTTGAATTCATTTTTATATACTTTTTCAGATTCAGTGCCCAAAATATAGTTTAATTTTAGAATCCATTTGGTGACAAGGTATATTTTGTCATCTATTCCATAATTAGAATGAGAATAACTGTTAACAACGGTTACATTCATTCCATCTTAAAATTTTTTAAATTAAGTTTAATTTTAAACCCAATGAAATATGTATGGTCTTTTCAGTTTTCAAAAATGATTATCTTATGTGAATCCTTATTATAAATTTATTTATAGACAAAAATTTCTGAAACTTATTTCCTAAAAATAGAACACATTCAGCTCTATCTAGAAATATTTAATTTGTAATTTTTAGGTGGGTTTAGTAAATGTGGGTATTCGCTAAGTTAGGAGATGCCTGTAGAGCTAGATATAATTCACCGAAAATTGAAAAACTAATATCAAAAACGATTTTTCACTTGTTATATACGATGTTCATGCTGTTAAAAAATGCGAGATGGAATAGAACCATCATGGAAAGGGCCCAAACCGAGGCACAACCGACTGTACCACCATCCACATCACTTTTAATTTATTAAAAATACCCATAAAAAGCTCAAAGGCAGCGTACAACCCAACTGGACCAGCGCACTCCACAATTACATTTTTATATTCTTTTTTCAATTTTTCTTTATTTTCCGAATGCTTTTTGTAGATTTCCTCAATAATAGCTTTATCCATTTCTTTGCTATGTATTTTTGATAAATTATAAATAAATTTCAACTCATTTAATGCGGTTACATTAAACGAAGAGTGGTTTAAAGAGGATGCTTTTTCCATAAAAGAGTAAATATCAATCAAAGAGCCTTCTGAGCCCTTTGAATGCAAATCCATCATGAAAGTCTTGCAATTTATGATTATATTTATCAATTTCAAGTACTTTTCTTTATTGGATGCAGTAGAAGATTCCTTGAAATTTATAATTAAATGTCCTTTTTGGTTATTGAGAATAAATGGAGGCTATTAAATTAGAATACTGTTGTATCCTTGTACAACAATAAAGAAGCAATACAATAATGTGTTTATCACACAATAGAATTACAATAAAGGTTGAAGAAATAGAATAAGGTTGTGGTATTTAGAATAAACAAATAGGAGACAATTAGAAGACACGGACTGACAATTATTTGAGGCTTTTATATGTAGTATAATAATAGAGTGTAAATACTAGCCGCCACCCCACAACAAATTCGGTATTTATCACGGATTGGACGGGTCTCCCCAAATTTATTAGGACATTTATGGATTACTAAAAAATTTCCGACCTCTGACCAGTTCTAATCATTACCTTTTTTTCTATCATTTCTTCATATTTTTTTAATTCCTTTGCAATATCTTCAACACTATCAAGGGATATGTTAATATTTTTTAAATTTAGGTTAGTAAATTCGGCAACTTTATTTACAAGTCTTTCAAAAGCTTTATTAAATGTTGTAAAAAGATTTTTATACTCCGCCTTTCCTTCAAGCTCTTTATATTCCTCAAATTCAATTGGATCATACGAGTATAAACCACCTCGAGGCATTCCAGTTGAATTATCTATCTCAGCAATTTGCTGTAAACGTTTAATGCGACTTTCTTTTAACACTCCTATAAAAATAAATAAAGATATTTCTAAGAACAACAAATAACTCCAATTATATCGATTTTAAGGTTGCTTCCAGGAAAGTATATCCGTGTCCACAACCGGTTTTAAATAATAATACCTTCATCCAAGTTGTCCATAGCAGCGCCAACATTGAAATTCAAAACGAGAATTAAAGCAAAAATTGACAACAATTTTGCTTTGTCTCGCATTTTTTTGTTAAAAAACAAATTTCCTTCAATAGAAGTGATTTTTAATTAAAAAATTTTTTTTGAATAAACTGATTATGCTAGGGGGTAAATAATTGTTTATATATGGACAAAATCGTCGGGTATTTCCCGTTAGTCTTGTTTGTTATTTGTTTTGTTTAGATTTAAAACTATAGTAAAGCAGATGGGCTATACATAGCTACTTCTCTCCTTCAGCTAGTGCAAAAGGTTAATCAGTGGCTGGGAGCTACTCATTGGCGTTATTAAAAGTTTAAAGTCCATTTATAAGTAAAAATTCAATTTTTCCTGGGGATGGAGGTGTAAAGCACATAGCTATTTTTCCGACTAATTCCCCAGGGGAATTATCTTTTCAACCCTTCCCTGCATGGGGAATTATTCTAGCCACTGATTAACCTTTTGCACTAGCTGAAGGAGAGAAATAGCTATGTATAGCCCAGCTGCTTTACTCTGGTTTTAAATCTAAACAAAACAAATAACAAACAAGATTAACGGGAAATTGAGGATTCGGACTCTTCTTTACTGCTTTAAAAAATTTTTTAGGTAAAATCACGTTCATTTAGTCATATGAATTTTTAAAAATCAATTTAATGTTTATGCTTTTTTGTGTACGCGCACTCCCTTGATTTTTCTTAATGGATTTTAACACGTAAAATTAATATATCCAATGCTATTTCTTTTTCTCTAATTTTTAGTAAATTTTGAAATAAAAATTCAAAAAAACACAAATAAAAACACGTTCAATACGTTCAATTACTTTTGCTGTTTCTTTTGCTCTTGATGTTTAGCGGAGACAACAAAGTCAAATGAATGAATCAGTAATATTTTTCGTTGCTTGTGTTGCATTTTTGGAATTTTGTATTGATGGCGTAGAGACTTGAAATCTCCGGAGTTAGTGACCTTCTAAAAATCATAACTAGAATAGTTTTGGATAAGATTTAACTTTTGGTGAATTGTGCCTATATGGTGAATTGTTGATTTTGTAAAATGTCTAGTGCCAAATTTAATAAATATAAAATTACTCTTATAAAAATGAAGACATTGCAAATAAATTAAACAAATTTTGGGTTGCCTCGCATGCTTCTGGTAAACGAATTGTTTAAAAAGTAAAAGGAGTCTTTACAGGAACGTCCCAGTTAGCCTGCCGGCTGAGTCCCGCTGTCATATTTTGGACCCTTTTTTAATTCCTAAAAAATATGATAATTAATAACTATCTCATCGAAAGCTATTGATATAAGGATTGATTTGGATTGAATGATCTGATTGATTGATAGAATCAGGTCAACATATTATGAGACTTTTGAAGTCAGATAATTTTTTTGTTCTTGGTACCATTGGAACTATCTAACAAAAACAAAGTTTTTAAATTTAAAACTAAAATTTTATACAAATCTAGAAATATGAATTTTAAAAAATGTTGAATAAAATGAAAAAATTGTTCTTGAATAGGGTTGTTGGTAGGTAGCCTCAGGCTCACAAAATACAAAGGTCTGACCATTTCGAAGAGCTCTATCAGTAATATTTTGGAAGACGCCCCTTTCTTTTCCTTCTATTTTTTATCATTTTTCTCCTTTTATGGCAAACTATATATCATTCGAAAAAGCTCTTCGAGCTGAATCGGATGATACTAAAATCAACAAGGTCTGACTTAAATGAAAAAAGTCTTCCAAAATATTCAGACTTTCTCCCTGATATCTTCATGCCATTCATGATATCTACAGGGGGCATTAAAAGGTTAAAATTTTTTAAATAATGGGTGGTGGAGTGAATGGGGGGGGGTGGGAGGGGGTTAGGGGTATGTTTTAGAATGTTTGCTTAAATAAAGTAAAGCAACTGGTCTATAGCTATTTCTCCTTCAGCTAGTGCAAAGGATTAATCGGCAGCTGGGAGCGAACCAGCATCTTCAGTAAACAAGACTGATGTGCCTGGTGCACAGCCTTGTGCTTACTGCACAACCTTAGGAATTAAATAGCTATACCTATGCTTTACAATAAAAAATAATTGTTTGGTTTGGGTATATAAAATGGAATTTTCTTTTTTACATCTTTCCTTTTTACATTTTTTTCTTTTTACATTTTTCCTTTTACATTTCTTTACTTTTTACATTTCTTTCCTTTTTAAATTTTTTGCTTTTTGCATTCCTTTCATCAGTTTTTAATCTCAGTCTTTTTATTACTCGTCCATTAACATTTTTGTCAAATCACTTTCTTCTTTGCTTTCGTTGTATTTTTTGATAGCAGAAACTGCCTTCTCAACATCGCCAAAGCCTTTAAAATGTTTAAATAAAAATATTAACATAACTTATCTCAAGTTATCAACCAAGAATATTTATTAAGTTCAGAAAATAGTTACGGACAGGAATTCAAAGATAGTACCATTTAAGGTACAAAATTGGAGTATAAGGCCGAATAAGGCCAATTAAGGCTATTAATATTGAGTAAAAAGGAACAAAGAACGAAGTCTTAAACTTCTTTCATCCTCGAAATCTAAAATACCACAAATCAACAGGAAATGGGGTTACAGTATTTCAAAAAATGTTTTAGCTT